GAGTTTCATATCTTCCATAACATCCATGAAACTGTGGCAGGTTAACTTTCTAGCTTACTAAGTACAGTAAAGTCTTAGATCCTTCACAGATTTTGATACCTAATTTCTGTCTGTGAAGTTATCATGTTGATTACACAATATCTTTTTTAACAACTTTCCCAATGCCATTATTTGCTTTGTCTTTACTTAAGTGTACTTAAGTAAGATTCATACTTTGCCTACATCCAAAGGACGCAAGACTATTTAATGGTTTAAAATACGGTGCAAGAAAACACACTGCAGGTGAATGTTATTCTCCATGGAGGAAAAAAGGGAAAGTTTGGCTTTCTTCCATTTTTAGATATCAATAGCAAAATGGCAAATCAAAAAAAAAAAAGAAAGAAAATCTAATGATTTGCAAAGGTTCTCAAAAAACCAAAAATACTCCACAGCAGGTGTAGCAGACAGGGCGTTGGCCTTGGGTAGAGTTCCTGAGAGGTTCTGTTTCATTGACCAAGTGGCATCAAGTAGCAGCAGTCAGATGAGGTATGGGGAGGTGGAGCAAGCTCGGAGTCACAGAGCCGCAAGGAATCTAGTTTCCTGCCAGATCATGAAATACGGGACTGGAGGTGTCCAAAAGCTTTATGCAAGGGAACCAGCATGCATTAGGCTGATGATTGATGATATTCCACTGCTACTGTGCCAGCTGGAAATAGGATGCCAGATGTTTCTGATTTCTGCCATGTGGATGAAGTAACCTAGCATGGAGTTACACCTGAAGGAGACTCAAAACATGCAACACAACAAAGGTGACAAAGATGCTCAGTGACTGGTAACTACAACTGCCATGATGATAAATGATGCCTACATGAAAAATAATTATTCATTTAAACAAAGTGAACAGTTCACGATATAACTATATGTCTATATTTCAGTTCCAGGTGTGAGGGTCAGGAGGCTAGAGGACCTGTCATGTTTACCAGGGCTTTAAATGCTTGAATATCTAAGAGAAACTATCAGTATACCATGTCGACGATTTCTCTAAATGCCTCCAGGTGGATGCTGGTGAGCAGCACATGGCCATACAGCCCACGGCTTCTATCTCCAGAGCCAAACAAAGAGATATGTGGAAATACCTAGGAATCCAACTTTAGGTAGGGAAAAAAATCACCATTAAACATCATTTTCCCTGACATAAAATTAATATAGGATAGTAAAATTTGCAAATGCATCTCTAAAACATTTCTATGTGCAATATGTGGGTGGCCTGGAAGGAGATTTGTAGTTATTCATTTGGAAAATGATACAATAATAAATAATAAATAAAACAGTTTTGCATATTCATAACTATAAACCTACTTTTGCCTAACCCTGTAGAGCACTAAACTAAAAATAAGAAAAATAATTCAGCCATTATGTACACTTTCACAGTGTCAGTAGTAGGTGAAAGACACTTATAAACCCTCGATGGCAGCTTCCTTCTAGCAGAAAAGGCCATCTGCCTCCATCTAGCCTCAGGAGGGACTCAGGTGTGTAAGCCAAGGAGCAAGGAAGGAACACAGTTTTAGCCTCCAAAAAAAGGCAATTCAACCCTGGGACACCCTGCAGAGACCACTGTGGATACCTGGTTCTGTGAAGAGCGGTTTTCTCCACTTTGTTTCCATGAAATAGATCTGACACCCTCTGGGGCGGTAGGTTACCTTGCTGTATTGATTTCACTCCTCGAGAGTCATATCAAAGAATTCTATCCCAAGAAGAACATTCTCTGGTTTGTAAGAACAATTTATTTGTTTCTGGTATCATCTGCGAGTTATTTTTTAGATAAAAGGAAATAAACTTATTAGATAGATATTCAGATGTGTACCACCAGAACTCAGTGAAAATAAGGAAAGGGTAATTAAACCAATGGGCAAAAAGATAGGCCCTCCCACACTTACCTACATTCAGGGCTGATTGTCTCTGCTAATTACAACACAATGCAAATGAGGACACATGTAAATATATGTTTGTCCTCACTTGAGCCTGGTAGTTTCATGCAGAGAAAAAGTACTCAGACCATCAGCACCAAGACCAGGTAGCACTGGGACAAACATCTGCCTTGAGCCACTAGAGGACCAGATGGGAAAATAATCCAAGCAGGCACTGACTTTCAGGGGTGGAGGGGAGGTAGTGGAATAATTCATGCAAATGTTACAGCAGAGTTAGCTAGGAAGGTTTTGGCTCAAAGATCTCACTAGATAGCACACAATGCTGTGGCTATTTTACCACTAGCCCTTCCCCCTTTTAAAGTATTTTTTTAAGATCAAAAGTAAAGAAGCTTTTGACGTTTTCATATATTCTGCTATTGAAATTTCTCCAGAAGCTGAGTAAGGAGTTTTAACAACAAAAGAACCCAGAAAGTGACCTTTCATCCCGAGGTACATAAAATTCAATAACAAATATATTTTGTCTTCCTTTTTATGTAAATATACTTCTGGAATTCAGGCCCCAATTTTGCAGATATGGGGGAGAAGGTGTGGCATTGATGTGGCAAGGTGTGGCAGTACTGGGATACCATGATGCCCTGAGAAATGGCTGGGCTGAGTCCAAACACTGGCTGTCCTCCCAGCAGGGAACCAAGAGGATCTGAAGCAGACCTTCCCATTTCTTTGAGACTCTGTAAAACACGGATACTAGCATCCCCTACTTACTCAGATACACAACAAGGCATTCAACAGTAGCACTGGGAGGAAGGGGCAGAGCACGACAGAAATGTGAAGTGGATAATTGTCATACGACTCCACGAGGAGAAAGAATGGAAAAGGGAGTGAGCCCCTGCACATTTGGAGGACATACTGCCAGGTGTTTGGTGCAGGACAAACATCTGGATGTGTGATTATATTTTTTATTCTTCCTCCAGATGCTGGGATATTGTAAATGTTAGGGATAAGGAAAAAAATTAGTTTGGGCATTTGAAAATGGAACCTGGTAAAAGGAATGGGCTATTAATTGGAAGCTAAAAGAATGTTTTAAATAACAGTAGCAAACAGGGCTGAGGGAAATCTTTCTGTCATACCAACTTCAGATTTCTGTCAAAGGGCAGAGACCCCCCCATTCAGAAAACAGCCTCGGCAGTTCTTTCTGAGACCATTTTCTAATAGCATTTCTTCTCACACACTTGGAATTTGCAATTGTATAACTCAGTCATGTATTAGGACAAGGACATTAGAAAACTTCACTGTTCCCTATTGACTCGGATGACAATTACTTAACACGTGATAGACAGCTCTTCTAGAGCCCACAGGAGCCACTGCTTCCTTTTCCAGAAAACAGCAAACATCGGACAATGCTATTTTATCAATCTGTAACTATGTCTAAGTTCAAGTTCTGTATTCCTTTTTCAGAAGCAGAGATCACTCACTGATTGTGGGATTTCAATCAAACATTCGCCCAGTCTCTATCAATTCCTCCTGTGCAGAGGCAACTGATGCTTGCTATTTATCTTTCTGAAAACATACTGAAATAACTTGATTTTCTCCAAATGCATATTCTATATACTCAGCTATGTTCCATGTTCTTATTAAAGTTTAAAATGTTCTTTTTAGTTGGCTAGAACAGCTTCAAGTTTGACTGTCCCTGGACAAAACGCTTTGAGGAACTCTCTTTTTGCCATAAACAGACATCAAGTAGATTAAAAAAATTTGAGGACCAAGAATATTTACAGATACTGATGGCTCCCTCTCAGCTTGGGGCCACTCTGGACTTCACAGTAGAGACAACCATTCAGAAAGGCTTCTGAGGTACAACAATCAGAATTCAAAGGCCCCAGATTAAGTGCTACATGCATTTGCAGGAAAATATTTTTCATATTGCCCTTGGAAATACCACAACTTAGAGCACTGATATCAGGCAGGGTTTGGAAAACAGTGTTGTTACGGAACAGTCTTTTTTCCTGATTCTCACAGTCTCAGTATTTCAAGAGTGCCATTACTCCTCCACGACTGAGCCATCTACCTGGGACAATCTTCCAAGGCTGGGGGACCCAGGGAGACTGGATGTGGCGGAAAGCAGCAGTGCAGCCAGCCTGCTCCTGCAGAATGAGCCCTGAGGCTGGGAGAGCCAGCAAAGAATTGGACAGCCAATTTTGTTCCACTACATCCAGCTCTGCTGAGGTCATGGAGTCCTGCCTTGTTTAAATTAAACTGTAAGCCATATTTAGTCAGCCCTCCTAGAGTTAAAAGTTTAGTGTCTCTTCAGTTGGCTAAGTCTGTGTCAGGCTGCAAGCCGTAACACTCGACTAAACCCAGCAGCGCGAGCTGCACAGTCGACACACGTTGCGGAGTCGCCTGTGCCCGAGGACCATCCTCTCGGTTCACGTGAAAGAAAACGGGCCCACCACCCGCAGAGCCATCAGGAAAACAGCTGATCCTCCAGGGCTGCAGTGTATAATATCCTTGTTCCACCCGCCCCCCCCCCACCCCGCCCCACCAATAAAGCTAAGGCGACAGGGAATTTTTCCAGGGGGAGCCTGTGCCTGCACACAAGCACCTCCACCCACACCACGTGCCAGTAATCTTTACTATTTTCAAATTTTTTCTTCTTCAACATTTAACTTCTATTTGCACTAGGTCCACATTCTTTGCTTGCACTGATTAATTTTATCCTCCATCAGCTTAATTTAAACCAGACCCACAATTCCTTGGGTAAGAACATTTCAAAGTGGCCACTTTGTGGGGCAGATCCAATAAGTAAATAATATCCAAATTATAGAGGACTAAGTTAAAACCCTGTGATTTAGGATTACATGTCAAAGTAAATCTTATTTTCAGTATTCTTTTTCAGTGACCGTACGCTGACAATCTTTCCAAGTAATTTTGCTTCAATATTTTATTTGCGGCAGTGCAGGTTGCAGTCAGCCCCTGAGCTTGTGCTTAGTTGGCTGACAGTATTAGTTGGAACGCAGGAACGGTTACAACAGCCCAGAGAAAGCCTGTCTGGTGTTAACGAACCCATCGGTTTCCCTCTCCTGTCCCAGCACTCACCTTGGCGGTGCTGAGGTGTTCCTGGGGAAGAGGATGCTCCCGGGAGAGCCTCTTGTGTGTCCAGAGATGAAGGGCTTGCACTTCGAGAGGCGGGAGAGACAGGGGCTGCCGGTGAGGTCAGGTCCAAGGAGAGGTCAGCTCTGCCCCCGCTCGCGCTCCGGCTCCTCAGTTCCTTCTCGTGCGCCTCAGCTGCCAACTGCTCCAAGTATTTGTATCTGAAAGTTAAATTCCAAAGGGTTTCCGTAAAAAGAAAGAGGAGCCTGTGGCTGATGCTTGTTTATGGATGAAACACCTGCAGAGTGAGCTGCTTTCCTGATGCACAGAGCACAGCGCGGGGCTGGCTGGAGGGCCCAGTTGCCAGAAACACCCAGCAAAGCCAAGATGCTAATGATTAAAAGTCCTGCATCATGCATAACCAAACAAATTGGGGGGAATGGCCACATCACACAGTCTCCAGATACTGGATCACTGCTGCAGAATCCTAGTTTGCTCTTTCAGGGAACATTTGTACAAATAAGCAAAACGACAACAATGACCATCAAAAAGGCCCGGCAGTGACAGCTGAAAACCACACGCCCTCCGAGCTCACAGCTGTGAAATGGGAAGGTGCCCTTGTGCGGCGGAGAGAAACAGTGCCTCCCAGATGCCAAAAGGGGGTGTTGGAGAAAGGCCTCCCTGAATTTCTGAACCTGCCTCAACGCTAACAGCAATGTGCCTGGAATTCACTTTGTTCTCCCGGTGTCGACCATGGAAACTTTTTTATATACTGAAATATTTCTGAGTCGGACTCAGACATCCAATAGCTTGGACCTGACGTCACGTATAGTTTATTCATCAAAGTCAGTTTAAAAGAACAAAGATACATCTGTTTTGCATTTCAGGCAGGCAGAACCCACTAACTGTTTATTAAGACCAGCTACCAATCATATTCCTCGTGGTGCGCTTTATAGATCAGACCAAAATAACTTTGAAATATGTGCCTCTTCCAGATGTCTGCTAATTTTACCCACCATTATTTGTTCAGAAATAAATTTACGAACCCAGCTGTAGCAGGGTTCTGACTATCTTACCCACCACTAAACTTTGGAACAGCTTATTCAAGACCCTGACTCACATCCATCCAGATTTACTGCTTCGGTTCCTCCCAGTGGGCAAGCCCTCAGCTCTGCCCATCATAGCCCCCATATGACACTCTTAATTCACCTGGATGACAGTGGTGGGGACCCTATAAAAATCCTTTAAAAATACATTTTAAAAGCATGCATTTCTTCATTCACCCTTAAGGTAGGTGTGGCTGCCCCACATCTGTCACCATCAGCCTTTCTCTCTGCCAGTCCGACGGCGGCCTGCCCTCCAGGCCAGGCTCTGACGCGCGTCTCCCCCTGTGAGGCCTGCCTTGACCACCACAGCTGGAAGTGATCTTGGCCTTGCCTCTGAACTCATGTCGGATATGTAGTCCATTCAACTCAGATGGCATTTTACATTCACTGCCTGGCATATTTAGTCATCTTTTCACATGTGTATATCTGTTTTCAACAAGCAGATAATAGGATTTTTGAGAACAGGAAGATTACCCGCCTTTGTTCTTTCCCTCGGCACCTTGCACTTCAGCTGGCGCGAAACAAGCAAAGCGTGCAGTGGGAGCCTGCAGGGCGGCACCCCACCTGCAGAGGTCCCCCTGAAGCACAGGGTGCCAATGGGTCAAATGCACCCTATTTCACTTTCCTAGAGAGTGAGCTTACTCACACCATGGATCTCTGAAACGAGACGTGCACTGGTCCACACGGATACAGACATCCGTGGTTGGCTTCATGAATAGCTGCCTCCCAGTGGGAGGATGAAGATGCTACACCCAGAGACCAAGCTTTAGGGACCCTGGGCTTTTCTGGCTGACATTACCTCTCAAAAGGTAGGAGAGGTGACAAAAGAAAAGTATTTCTGAACTTAATTCTGACCAGCAAGGAAAAAACACCTAGCACGGAGGTGATGGGAATCTTGAAAGATAGTAATCCTGAGGGTCAGAGCCTGTAGGAGGCATAGGTTCAATGGAATAGTGGCGAACTCAAGGCCAGACAGGCTCCAAGCCCAGGATGAGTCTGTGAGCACTGACATCCCTGCACTGAGTCCAAGCCTTCTGTGACAAGAGAAAGGGACAGGCGAGGCATGACATGCAAATAAGGGCACCTGCATGGTCCAGGAGACTGGAACCCTGGAGCAGGAAAGCAGAGCTCAGCAGCATCAGAAGAGTGCAGGGAGGACGGGAGCAAAACTAGGCGGACAACGCATTTATGACCTTCATTTTGGTTAGCCTAGCCCTGGTCCTGGCCTCTCCTTGCCCCATCCTGTGGGCAGCTAGGCTGGCAGGCATGTGCTAGCAGTCAAAGGATTCACCCCATTTTCTGGGGGACTCCAGGGCTTTCTCCCCCAGAGTCTCAGTAAATGTGACTCAAAGACTATTCCTGTGTACCCCTAGTCTCACAGATGCCATCCTCGAGGATTCAGGAGGCATGGGATGAGTCCCAGCTTTAATCTGAATTGTCCCAAGGATGGGTATGTGATAAACAAAATTTCAGGGGAGGGGACATGGGGACTTGTTTAAGGGGTAAGAAAGTTTTAGTTTCACAAAATGAAAAGCTTCTGGGGACTGCTTGCCCAGCAATGCAGATGTACTGAACATCACTGATTTGTGTACTTGGTAAATGGTAAATTTTATGGTACATATATTTTGCCACATTTAAAGACTATAAAAAATGGCAGGTGCAGGGAGACCCAGAGGTCAAGAACCACTCATTCTTTCTAAAATGGGAGTGGCAGTGTTCACCGGCAGTGGGCTGGGTGGTGAGGGAGACTGACGTGCCTGGGGAGAGCTGGGCCACCTGGCATTCGGTGACCTCTCCTGGCCCACCCGCACCTCCAGCTGTCCCTGGGGGAGGCTGGACCGACAGCATGACCTTCCCTTACACAGTGACTCTCAGTGCTACCACTTGGGGACCCAATAATACTTGATCCAGGAAGCCCACCAGCCCATGCAATGACTGTCCTAAGTCCCTGCTGCCTAGTGGTGACATAAGCCCCAACCCACAGACTCTGATGAAGCCTGGTGCATGCAAAGCACTGGGTTGCCTATCCACAGCCCCATGAAAAGGCTTTTCACCTTTGCTGCCTTCATCTAAACATTCCCATTTTCCTTCCCTCTCAAAGAAAACCCTCTGGAAGAAAGATAGGGAAAAAACTTTCTTCCTTATGTTTTGCTTATTCATTCATCTTTTCATTATTTAATGAACAGTTGCTGAGTGCCTGTCATGTGCTAACAATTGCAGAAGGTATTAGAGATTTAATAATAAAGAAGAAACCCCTGCCCCACACACACATCAGGGAGCTCACAGGTCAGTGAGAAAGACAGTCAAACATGCCTTTGGAATAAACTCAACATCTGCAGGGGCACAGGCAGCAGGGCTGGTACCACAGCCAAGGGAATGTTCTCAGGCCCAGTCTCTCTCTACAGGGCCCTGTGGAAACCCTGCTTGACTGTAGGTTAACCTGATCCTACTTACTGATGACTTTTCCTGCCACCCTCCTACTCAGAAACTCCCTTTTGAGTTAACCCCAAATCTGGCTCCAAGTTCTCCTCTGTCCTCGTACCTGTTAAGCAGTGCTCAGGGGCCTGTCTTCCCGCTTCACTGACCACTGCATGCATCACTTCCAGGTCCTGGCCGAGTCCCGGCCTTTCCCTTGTACTCCGTTCCCACAGCCCTGCTTGCCAGAGGCATTCCCTGTCCGCTCCCTGCCATCCCTTCAGACTAATTCCCACCCTGGCCCCTGCCCCGACAAGCCCCCAGCCCGAATCTCATTGCTTACTACTCCTTTAAAAAAATTATTCATGAACGTCACTTAAATCAATCATTGTCAGATAAAGGCTTTCTTCTAAGATTTAAAAAACAATTAGAAGTAGCAGATCAACAGAAACTTATTCTGAGTCTGCACCATGTCAATAGAACAGTTTGCCTGAAATTATGGAAAGAGGTAATATGAAATAAAATCAATCAAAATCAAATCAAATATGTCTGGATGGTCAATCCATCTCAAAATAGCAAAGTGACATTCATCTTGTTACACTAGATGTTACAAACCTCAAAAAACTCTCTGCTCTGATTCTGGCTATCTTTTTCTGGGTCATTGCAGTAAGAGTAAGAAACGTGGAACCCCACACACATGCCCGGCTCTGTCATGAAGAGTTAATAGACGGGGTCTTTTTCCATGTTTCGCAGCCTCTTTCTACCTCTGATCTCCAGCAGTTTCCTCACCTATTTCCGAAGCCCATCGTACTTGGAAGTTTGATCTTTTCCCGGCTTACCCCCAGTAGTTCTCCAGACAGGGAGGCAAGTATGTCTCCTCGCTCCCATCTTCACCAGCTCATTCATGATGCAAACTAACCAAGGAAAGTGGCTGGTCCAAACCAGAGGAAGATGCCCAATGCTCCCCAAACCTCTGTGCACCCGGAAAGTGGGCTATAAGGAAAGACCCCACGTGAGGCTATGAGGAGCCTGCGCCTGCCCCAGCTAAGAAGGCCCAGGCAGATGACCAGCATGGAGGCGAGGACTGAGGTCAGAGCGAGAGGAGAGGAGTGGCAAACTCCCCTGCACAAGTTTTCCAGGCGTAAGTGATATTCTGCTTTGGGAAAAAGAACAGTAAATAATATTCCGAAAGAGGAAGCCTTTGGTGGTTTGGAAAATTTTGAGGTCAGCCTGAGCCAGTTCAGACCTTATGTCTCCCCGAGAGCTTCCAAGCCTTCCCTGTGCAGACATTACCTGACAGGCAGGTTGTCAGAAGCTCAAAAAAGTGCAAAATCTGGAGGAAAAGACCCCCCACCCCCCCAAAAAAAAACAACAACCAAAAAACAGGTAATATTGGACTTCTTAAGCTTGGGCACAAGACAAGAGCATTTTCAGTACAAGTATATGTCTCATCTGCCAATGTCAAAACAATGGTATGAATTAGAGAAACAGGAGTTTCTTGTCTCTTTACCGGTATCTTTCACTGTAAATCTGCTGGCCACCCTGGTCATTAGGATGGCAATAACTGAACATGCTGGAATTAAAGCAATGCCTTAGTTTTGTTTATGGGACTGACCTAAGCATCTAATTTTTAAATTGAACACAGGCAGACTCCACTCCTCCATGCCTCAGACTGTCTTGATCTATTTAGCTGATGGTGTCTAAAAACATTAGCTTCACTTTTTTATTGGCCTAGATCAGAGATTGTTAGGTTCCCAACTGGCTCTGGTATAAAATCAGCCTTTCCATCTCTCCAGGCAGTAACCCCATCTGGTGGTAGAGGGAGTAACTGCAGTGCTAGGGGCTAAAAATGTATCTTGTGCTGTTCCACTTCCCAAAACAGTTTCCTTCCTTTGTTCATTTATCAGATATCAAATACATTAACTTTGTGTCTTTTAACAGGATTCAGAGCATATCACCACTGAAATGTAAAAAACTGGTTTACAGTTTGAATATTTGAAACAAAGCTGTTAGTTCACTTGCTCATTGATTTCACACATCTTTCCTAAGTGTCTAATACGTGCCAAGAACTGGGGGAGGCACTGGGACAACCAAGGGCAACCAGGCATGGCTTCCAGCACCACGGAACTGAGTACAGTTCAGCAGGGAGACAGGTAAGTGATCAGACACATTCAGGGTCGCAGGTGGGCGTGGCAGCCCAGCCAGCACCCTGCACCGCACGTGCACTCAAATATTTGTTTCAGGAGGGCTGAATGAGCAACCTGGAAGCATGCAGTAGAGACGGCACCTGACCCAGGCTCAGTAGTGGTGGTGTGGCGTATTGAAAACACATACCATATATTAATATACTAAATTAATGTGCTCATTTGCTGAAGAATCTTAGGGACAGACACATATTTCATACCATGATGGCACTAACTAATAAACCTGTACTTACTTGGAAAATTTAGATAACCAGGATACTCTATTCTGCAAAATGCCAATTACCAAAAGTCTTAGGTCTCTTAAGCAAAGCTACTATATTTCAATTAACACAGTCTCCACTGCATGCTTGGTTAGAAGTGTCAAGTCACGTGCCATTTGGTTACATGGGGAAGAAGAGATATACAAACCTTTCTTCTCTTGCTTGCCTTTGCTCCTCTCTTTTGTCTAAATACTCTCGGCTAATGGAAATATAAGGAAGAAAAAAATAGCAAGAACAGAATTATATGCTCATAAAATTGCCAAGAAATTATTAACAGTACATAATCAAAGCCTACTATTGCCTCAGAAATGGAAAGTGCTTGTAGTTGAACTTTTAAAAACCCAGGGTAAAGTCTGTACTTTAAAGTCCTAAGTATAATGGATTTTCTATAAAATCACAAGGAGTCCAAAAACATGGGATTATTGGATGCACTCAGAGACATGACCAATTACTCTTTGGAAAGAAGAATGCAAGCATATGAGCGAAAGGGAGAAGAAAAAAATTTTTAAAGAGTGAAATAATACATAAATAAAGTACGGCAATGACAAGCAAGCAACAGCTTTCCGAGGTGATTAACAGTCCGTCCAGCTCTGGTAGCTCCACGGCTCTCCCCTCAGGAGTCGAGCGGGAGAGGCTCCGAGTGTGCTCGCCATTGTGTGCTGCACTCCTCAGTCTGGGCGTCCCTCCCACAGCCCAGGACTCTCTCTCTGCATCCCTCACATCTGCTTCTCTGTGGGGATCACAGGACGCTCCTGCTTCGTGCATCCTCCTTTGTCTGTACCCATGAGATGCCCAATTTTGTCCAAGTTTAACGTTTTGTTCCTGCTGCTGAGGTTCCAACACAAACCTAGGTTTAAGCCTGTGATCAGTCACCTCTGGATAGACCATTTCTTTTACTGGGGAATTCTGACACTGTGGTTTTCTACATTGGGCCTAACGTAGTGTAGGCATTCCACCCCTCAACGCACTGGTAACTGGATGTAAAGGAGCAAGCAGTAAGTGAGAGCAACGAAAACAAGTTAGGAGAGGGAGAAAAAAGCAACAAAGACTCAAATTTGTCATTACTTTTAAACATCCATCCTCAACACTTCCCATACTAAAAGTCAAGTTTTCCATAAACTAAGAAGTTTAAGAACATATTCAACAAAAATAACAGCAGATAAGGAAAAACTTTTACGTGGCATGCAGAGAAAAAAACACAAGGAACGTCAGGAACTTAAATCAGTGTAATGGGTGATGAAAGGCCAGCCACTTGGGTAACCCCAGGGGCTACTTTACACAGCTTTCCCTGTGTCCTTTGTTGAATTTTTCATTCATATCCTCAGACTTTTAGAAAGAAACTGCTGTCATTGTAATTAATAGTTGTGTGTGGTCTGTCCTGCTGATGAGCATTCCTTCCTGGACAAGGTTTATTTTAATGTCTGTCTGTCTGCCTATCTATCTATCATCTATCTATCTATCTATTAACAGAGTGAGGATTAGACCCAGGCAACCCATCTTTAGAGAGATCCTGGTTATCATATATGCTCTTTGTTATATGTCATATATACCCCATATATGACATATATATTATAGCACAATGACTAAGTATATATTGCAATGCACTATGCACTCTTGTTCTATTATTCTGGGACTCCGATGACATAAATGGCAGACATCTAGGTATTGTTCTAAGGGTCCCTGAGGAACTACTCATTTTTTTTCAATGTTTTGTTTTAGTTTTCATATTGGATAATTTCAACTGTTCTGTCTTGAAGTCCATGGTTCTTTTCTCATCTTCATTCAGCTATAGAGCCCACACAATGCAATTTCTATTTTGGTCACTCCATTTTCCAGTTCCATATGTACTTCTATTTAGTTCTTTATATTTTCTATTTCTTTGCAGAGACTTAGCTTTCCATTTGTCTCAAAATTATTTGCCCTCACTTCTCAGAGCCTGTTTATAATAAATACTTTCAAGTCTTTGTCTGATAAAGACAACATCCTTTTGTGGTTACTATATTTTGATTGTCTTTTCCTTCTGCGTTAAGATTGTCCTGGCTCTTTGGATGACAAGTCATTTTGGATTGCATTCTGTCTATTTTAAAATATTTTGCAAAGAGACTCTGGATCTTATTTAAATTCTATGAAGAACCTGGATTGTTTTCTTCTGTTTTTCTTTAGAAGGCAAACAACTAAGTTAGGTTCAGCCTGAAAGTTCTATCTTCTTTTACTGGCTCCAATATTAGCTCAGTTTTCAAATATTTTTAGTGCTATTGAGCTCAAGCCCAGTATACCATCCAGTGGCCAGTCTGGGACCTGAGTGGTGGTCCATCTGCCTGTCCTTACTTCTCCAAGTCTGTGGTTTGCTCTTTAGGTTCTGGGCCACACTTGCACTAATTGGTACTCTCTTGAGTTCTCTACTCTTCCCTACCATTTCCTGGCTTCCTCAGGTTTTCCCTTCCTGGTCCTCTAGCCAGAAAGCTTGGGCTTTATTTTTCCTGCTCTGGGGCATACTTTCAGTAGCTCCATCTGCACCCAGGGCAACGCAACAGGAGGACACAGAGAGAAAAATGGTGACGTGACTAGTGCTCTTGGGGTCATAGGTCTTTCGGTCAGAGGAAGGGCTCCCCGCCCTCAGAGTTTAGGCAGCGATCTGGACACTGCCGCCATCACTGTGCTTCTGTAACAGTATTGCTTGGAGGCTGGGGTAGGAGAGATGGAAAAAATATGGAGAAAAAAAAAATAGGAGATTTTCTCTACTCTCAGAAATTCCTCTTACTGCTCTTTAGCCCAAAAGGAGAGGCCTTCTCTTACAGCTCTTTCAGGACACACTTGGTACATGTGTTTGGGTTGTGGGGTGTCTCTGAGTACAAGCCTGGTGATTATTGGAAGGAAAAAATAGTAGACTTTCACTTCAAATAGTTGAACGCAAGTCTCCTTCCCAAGCTGCCCTGCTCCCTCTGACACCGCAGGGTGTTTGGAGCTCTGTGCGCTCTGTCCGTGATTTACAGGGCATGCAGTGATGCAGGAGAGACAGGAGGGACTGCGCTGACTCCGTCTTACTCAGAACCGCTGCCCTGTTTTCAGAGGTTTTCAACCAAAACCTTTAGATGTGTAAGCTAATTTCTGAATTTTCCAGGTGTTTCAGTCAGATTCTCTGCTGCTATTTGGTGGTAAAATATGCAAATCTCTCCCAGAAAGCCCCAGGGGTTTTTACAAATTGGTCTTTCCAAAAGTGACAACTTCCAGAGCTACGTCATGAGAAATGGTGCATACAGGCCTGGCGTTTCCATGTGTCACTTGGTAGAAAGCTGATAGCTCAGGGTGTGCCACCCAGCCGTGGTGGGGACTGATGCTGGTTCACTCCATGCAGCCCATTAGCCCAGCCTGACAAAAGCCGGCATCAGCATTTCAACACAGACTCGGGATATTTGCTTTCACATGGTAGTGAGCTATAGTTATGGCAACCTCACAACTCTGTTCATGTTTTGATCATTTCTACAATTATCCTTACTCTTCCTGGCTGCTGAAAAAAAATGTTATTGAATCTGTAAATCATCATGGACAATGCTTTACATTCTTTGTAGGTTTAACTGGAAGTAATTGATGGGAATATATTTTGCCAAAGAAAATGAATTGGGGAAACAGGAAATGGAAATGGGGAGAGAAACGAAAAGACGACAAAAATGCAGAAACTATAGGAAAGATGACTGGGAAGATGAAGAAGGGAGAGATAAGGAGAAGGCACATAGGAAGGCGGGGAAAGAAAGAGGAAAGAAAGAGGAAGGAAAGGATGACCAGAAGGAATGAAATGTGTAAGAAAAGACTTAGCCAGTGTTTTGCATTCCATGCAGTGCTGCGCGGCAGGAAGCCCAGGGCAGGGGAGGGGATGCAGGTGAGGACGGGAGAGCAAGAGAACTGGCTGAAAAAGAAGCAGAGCAACACTGGACTCGGTGGGGGCAGACAGGTTCAGACATGGAACCTGGTGTGGGCCACAGGCAGGAACACTTTCCTGGAACTGAGCAGAGACCAGGAGACTGGGGGACGATGAGCGGGGAGTACTCAGCACACTGACTTTTCTTTCCCACACAGGAGGAGAGACTATTGTTTTAAAGAAAATATTGAAGATTGCTACAGGGAACAAGAAGCAAACCAGAAAGTGAGGAAAGCATTTCTTTTAGGCATCCAACAGAATATGAATAAAACATGAGTAACTTTAGGGGGAACGGCAAATTACATTGAGACAATTAGGTTCTCCGTCTTTAGAGAGACCTGGGAAGACCATTTTAGATCATGGAGGGCTCAGAAGACACAAATCCTTAATTGCAGTTGACTTGTCGGCTCTGCTTCCTGCCATATGGTTAGAGAGGGGGAAAGGCCGTAACCAACCAGATCTATCCTACTGCAGGTGTGTCTCGCTCTTCCTTGAAAATAGAGACAAAATCCAAAGAAAATGCAAACTTCCTAATCCTATAACATCATTATTAATCATACAGAGCTGTGAAATGAATGTGCTTTCATTTCAGTTAATTATTTAAAAAATTTGAAAATCCTTCTTACCTGAATTTGTTCCTTTCCTCCCGCTCTATTCTCTGCAGCCTTTCTTCTCGCTCCTGCCGCCGCCTCTCTCTCTCTGCTGCCAGCGACTCTTGGTGCTGCCTAAAGGATGATGTGAGAAGACCACTCGGTGATGACCTAAAGATATAATGAGTTAATGTTTCAGTCGGTTGGCCTATGATTCAAACTACTGAAGTAGGAATGAATTAGACCTTGGTTAGAATTGAGGGTCTGCTGGTACAAAGGTAGTGCTTGGGGAAAATAACTAATTGTCTCAGTTCTTCTGTTTCAGGACCTTCATCTCTAAATGGAGATAAGTAACCTGCTTCAAACACTGGGAGGACAAAAAGGTGTAATGCACATAAAGTACTAAGCATTCTGCACAGCGAAGGAAACCATCAACAAAAAGACAACTAGAAAATGGGAGAAAATATTTGTAAATCAACTAATCAGAGAAATGCAAAAATTAAAACTACAATTAGATATGACCTCACTCACACCTGTCAGAATGGCTATCATCGATAAATCAACAAGTGCTGTCTGGGATGTGGAGAAAGGGGAACCCTCATGCACTGTTGGTGAGAATGTAGACTGGTGCAGCCACTGTGGAAAAGTATACAGAGTTTCCTCACAAAAATTAAAGATGGAACTTCCTTATGACAATTCCACTTTTGGGTATATAATCAAAGAAACCCAAAACACTAATTTGAAAGAATGTATGTACCCCCATACATACAGCATTATTTACAAAACCAAAGATATGGAGCAACCTAAGTGCCCATCAATAGACGAGTGGATAAAAAAATTGATGGTTCATATACAAAATGGAATATTACTCAGCTGTAAAAAGAATGAAATGTTACTATTTGCAACAGCATGAATGGACCTAGAAGGTAGGATGCTAAGCAAAATTAAGTCATTCAGAGAACAACAAATACCACATGATGTCACTTAGATAGGGAATCTAAGGTCAAAATAAACGAACAAACAAAATTGAAACAGACTCATAGATCCAGAGAATACACTGGTGATCAACAGAGGGGAGGGTTCTGGGGACTGGGTGAAAAAGATGAAGGGGTTAAGAAGCACAAATCTGTAGTTACAAAATACTGACGGGGATATAAAGTAAAGTGTATTTTATACAGTCAACAGTATTATAATAACTATACATGGTGCCAGGTAGGTAATAGAAATATTGAGGTACACACTTCATGAAATATATAATTATCTAACTACTATCCAGTACACCTGAAACTAATACAGAATAATATTGAACATAAACTGTAATGAAAAAATAAAATTAAAAAATGTATAACTCTTGTATCATACACATTTTGCCATAAGTCTCCCATCCACTTTGTCTAGAAAAGGTGAGTCACTCCTGGTTATTAGTCAGAGGTGGTAGGAGAAGCAGAAGGAAGAACCTCCATCCCTGATAGCTACAGGGAGGGAGTCCCATAAACAAGTCCCATAATCCAGGAATGGAGCTACTACATCCGCTCTGGACACTTAGGCATAGGCAGAATTGTATTTATCTTTCACATAAATGAATTCTAGACTATCTTGTATAATTTCTACCTTGTTTAGGCTATGTTATATACATATTTTTCTGTTACGTGTAGCCAAATCTAAATCACAATCAGAGAGGAGAGACGCTTCCCATACTTCTTGAATAGTGTTTCATAGGAAGTATTATAGATATAAAAGATTTATTTAATCTGATAAATTTTATCTTACAGATGCCCATATATACCCTGGTGCCCCAAATTAGAGAAAACACATTCTTCTCAAATACACAGGGACTGTTCGAAAGCTGACTATCACTCTTGCCACAAAACTCATGAATGAATGCCAAGAACTGGTTTTATACGGACTACTTTCCCAACCACAACACAACTGAGTTGAAATTAAGTAACAAGAAGATAAATGTGAAAAATCCATATAATTGGAAATTTTTAAACTCTTCTGATTAACTCAGGTCAAGCAAGAAAACTACAGAAAATTAGAACACAATCAAAAAGTATTATAATGAAAAAAACTACCAAAGATTTGTAGGATGCTTCTAAAGTAGCATTATGAGGAAATTTATTGCCTTAAGTGTTTATATTTTAAAAGAAGAGTGAAAATTAATGAGTGGTCAACTCAACAATTGAAAAGCAACAATGGAATAAATTTGAATAAGACAAAGGAAGGAAATAAACATAGAAACAAAAATTAATGAAATAGGAAAATAAAGATTTATTAAAAATCAATAAAACAAGAACCTGGCTTATAATTTTTTTGAAAAAACTAATAAACAGACAAATTTTGTCAAAATTTTTTAAGAAAAAAGATGTAAAGAAGCAATATTCAAGAATGACAGGAATATTAAATTATAGATATAGCAGAAATTAAAAAATGATGAGAAAGTGAGAGAAACTTTATGACATTTTAAAACTTCAAAAATGGATGATTTTATAAAAATATATAATATCAAATATGACTCAGGAAGAAATAAAAATTTTGGATAGCCCTATTAACCATTAAAGCAGAATCAATTAATCAGAGATGTAGCCACACACACTGAAAAAGAAACAAACAAAAACAAAAAGTCCCTCTAGGCTCAGATTTCCTAAAGTGATTCTACCACTCAGGAAGGAGTTCATCTTAATTATACACAAAGCTTGAGAAAACAAATCCAAGGAAAGCTCTCCAACTCAACTTATGTGATTAATATTACTATGACACAAAACCCAGACAGGAAATAGTGTGAGGACAGAAATTTATATACTGATTGCAGCTGGGAAAACCACTGTAAAACTCTGAAACAAACCCTGTGGGCTTGTCCAATGAATGCAACGGTATTTTAAGAGAGGACACCAGTGAGTGTCATTTACCACACTCACAGAATGTAAGAGAAAAGCCACAACTACCTCGGCAGGTGCAGAAAAAGCTTTAAACCCAATACCCATTTGTTATTAAAAAAAAAACTTTTATCAAGCTTAGAAATAGAAGAGAGCTTTCTTCACCTGAAAATGGGTATTTAGTAAAGAAATTTTCTATGGTAAGCATATTCTAAAGGCTGAAACATTCAGAGCAGCTTTAATATTAGAAATGATATAAGAATACCCCATCATTGCTTATATCTGATGTTATTCTAGAGGTCTTAGTACATGAAGATAAGAAAAATACATACATTAACATCATTTCCTTACTTAACATGAGAATGTTAGAGCTTGTTTGAAAGCATAAGAATATTAGAACTGGAGAAAGTGAAAACTGTCCAGTCTTCTCAGATAGATGCTGTCACTCCTCCCTGGGCGCCTCTGGAAAGGGCAGTGCAGACCACCCCTGCCCGTGTTGACCTGGCAAGGGCAGGTCTCATGCAGGCTCCGCAGCAGGTGCACACCAGCGAACACACCTGCTCGCAGCACTGAGAACACGTGGAAGCTCTTTTCTCCATCACTCCAGTTCTGAAAGAACTGCTAACTCATAGCACTGAGAAATGGTTCTTCTTTTCCTAAAATAAAGCAAATGCCTGGAGCAATTCAAGATCCATTCTCTTGGGCCTCCTAACACAGATCCCTGCAGCAAGAAGAGAGAAGTAAAGGGCTCCTAAAGGCTTGTCTGTCCTGGATGCACATAAGCTGCTTTGGTCATACCGGAAACAAAGGGTTGTAAACATAATGTTAAAAAATTAAAGTTCCCTAGTTCTCCTGCTACCTAGATAAGCCCAACATGTGAAAGCAAAAAACCTGATTATAAATCCTGTTTCTGGAAATGGGCTTCACCTGTAACACCAATGCCAGAATGCATTCAAACCATACCAAGGGGGTATCCCAAATCATAACTTAAAAAAACCCAAACACCAAAATTCAAACTAGCATAGTAAAATTCTTCTCCTCATAAAGGCATCTTTAACAGACTTTTATCTTTCATGTTAAGTTTTCCAGGAAAATACCTACAGTGACTGGAAGTTGCTTCACTGTTTCTCTTGGCTCATCTGAGGACCAGCTATGATGTAAAGGAAATGAGCACAGGGTTTGGACTGAGAAAACCTGAGTGCTACTCATTTACCTTCTCTGAGGCTCAGTTTACTTGTTTATAAAATGAAGATTCTACATTAGATTTTTATTAATATTCTCAACTCACGAAGGACCATAAGATTTAAATGAGAGGTATGTGTGAGTTTTCTTGGAACATTTTCTTGGCCACAGTAGGCATTACCATGGGGAGTCTAGAGTCTGTAGAGGCAGGGGAAGGCTTAAGCTGCAGTCCCCAAGGCCAGATCTGGAATATGTCGCTGTAGTTCCCAGCCTGAGAAACTAGAGTGGGTTGGGAGTTTGATGTGAACCTTCCCAATGTGGCCACCAGCTGGGTCATCAGGACTGCACGCCACCCCAGAATGCACCTGGACAGCTGAAGTCATGTACATTATACTTGAGGCAGCTGAAACCGAGTGAAGCCACAGAAGACTGCAGGTGGTGAGAGGCCAGAGAGTTTGTAAGGGAGACGATGATATACTCTGAGTGAGAACTACAGGATTTATTCTTGGCCAGACCAGGCTCCAGGATCTGCCCCAGAAATCCCATCTGGTGAGAGCTACTCTCTCTGGGACATCTGGAACAGAAACTTGATTTCACTGAAATATGGTTGGTAATAAGAGTTAACATTTGTGGAGACAATACGGTGTGCCAATTATTTTACATGAAATGGCTCTTTTAATCCCTAAACCTCTTAGACTATGTTCTATTATTATCCTCTTGACAGATGAGAGGGACAGAGAACTTGCATTTAGAATGTATCTGGGCTTTTAAATGGGCGTGTCAGACCAGAGACAGAGTGTTGATCAATGTCCTACAGAAAGCTGAAGAGGAAGGAGTACATTTCCTCTCCTTTAATGAACTCAGCATTACTCTGATATCCCCGCATTTTGGAAGATGGTTTGGCAATTTTTTTAAAAGCTAAACAAGCACCTACAATAGAACCTGGTCATTTTATGTGTGGGTATTTATTTAAGATAACTGAATTACATTTCCATACAAAGACTTGTACACAAATGTTCATTGCCCAAAACTGGAAGCAACTCAAATGTCCACCAATGAGACAACAGATAAATTACAGTATACAGATACAATGGAGTACTACTCAGCAATAAA